TTCTTCTTCTTCTTTCTTTTATGGCTGGTTGGGCATTAGTCGCCCATACACCATTGTTTCTTATGGGTTTGTAGAATATAAGTAAAACTCCTCTAAGAGAGGAGGGAGTCCAAAAAAAGGTCCAGACAAAGGACATACGCAGCAAGCAAAAACACGTCCGAACCCGACACGTTGTCAGTCGGAACTTTTATGGAGGGAGTAACAATGTTGCTTCCATAGACATAGGCCGGTATTCATAGTCCGTTCTTATATCCAAGTATGTCCTTTTCTACGTGGGCATCGACCCCCACTCCTTAAATAAATGCAAACGCTCGGTCTAGATATACTATGTCTATGGTCTAAATATACTATATCTATGGGATACACACAGTAGCCGTTTATAGGTTATTTTTATCGTGCATCTCGTCCGAAAAATTGTTCTTGCATAACGAATCATAACACATATTGCATCATTCGTCGTAACAGAAAATTTTATTATTCGATGCCGCCAATATAATCTCTAGTGACCGTTTAAATTATCAGATTTAATAAAAATTCTTAAACTGTAATTATGAATAAATTGTCGATTATTGAACAAAGTGTGCGATTGCAATTACGGCGTATAAACACGGCTGTTACAAAAGAAAGACAAACACCATCCGAATATTGTTTGCAATTAGTTAGGTATTTCCTTTTGCTAAACTGTGTGTGTGTGTGTGTTGTACATAATAAATATAAAAATTGTACACACATAATTTGTCATATATAGATATATTTAAGTAATAATATTCTATACACAAGTAAAAAAGAGAGTTAGTAGATCTGCAAGATTTTATGTAATATATTAATTTTTAATTAATACATTTCTACAAAAATTTATGGTTTAAGAAATTTTTAATTTCTAGAAAAAAGTAGATGAATATATATACTGAGATGTTCTATTTTATAACTCTCTTATATTTATATATTCTCTCATAGTTCTCTTTTATTTTTATATTATCTTGTTTCTGAAATAAAACAAAATTTCTTGCAGAACATAAAGTAATTACACTTGAAATGTGCAGAATTTAATTTACGTTCGTGTCTACACGTCTAATATTTCTAGGAGAAATGATTACGAGAACTTTCTATGTACATTATTACTTCCGCAAAATATTAAATCGGCGGCATTTGCTATACGCGCGTTTAATGTCGAAGTGGCTCAAGTGGAGGATCAAGTGAGTGATAACAAGATAGGAGCTATGCGATTACAATTTTGGACAGATGCTCTAAACAATATTTATAACAATCAACCACCCAGAAGCCCTGTACCGCTGGAATTACACAGGGTAGATGATTAAAATAACATTCATCGTTCCCTGAGATTATATTGGGGCTCAAAGCTGGGAATTAGAAACCTTTCGCATCTCTTGCAGATCCTCCTGCGACACAAGCTTTCTAAACATTATTTCAAACGTTTGATTGACGCTCGTATAAATAAATTAAGTAATTCGATATTCGTGGATTTGGAATCGCTCGAAAGATATTGCGATTATACTGCATCGTCGATATATTTCCTGCTCCTGGAGGCGCATGGTACGGCAAACGTCAACGCTGATCATGCGGCCAGTCATTTCGGCAAAGCGCATGGTTTGGTTACTTCGATACGGTCCGTACCGTATAACGCTCGAAAACGAGTTATGATACTGCCGCAGGACGTTTTACTGAAGAATAGCGTCTCCTCGGAATCAGTCTTCCAGGGACAGCCAAGCGCTGGACTTAAAGATGCAGTATTCGAAGTCGCGTCCTGTGCCAAACAACATCTAAACGTGGTATCCATCGTTATTCAATAAACAACTTAATAAAATTGCATGGAATTTAATTAAGTATCGATCTTTGCATCTTATACACCTTTTGCGTGTAAGAGTCGGAGTTTTTCGTGTATGAAACCTTCTTTGTTTTAGGTAGCATCACTTAAAAAGACAATGGGAAAAGATTTCAACACGATATTTCTGCCGGCAGTTTGCATAGAAAATTATTTAGAGGAACTACGAAAAGTAGATTTCGATGTTTTCCACTCAACATTACAGAGAAGAAAGGGCTTTCTTCCGTTACAATTACTTTGGAGAAAGATATGGTCTTAGTATATAATTAAAGATTGAAATAAGTTTAAGATAGAGCGTTTGTAATGTGTTTTAATTTATTATCTTCACTATATCCAAAGTATATTAAAAATTATATATTAATATTTAGACTTATAGAAGATTTATGTAATAAGAAAAAAGATAAATGAAAGGACTGTCTTTTGGTTCCCATCGTACGACAAATTCTGCATCCAGATTGGCTAATTTCTTGTCCAAATAAATCATGTTTTTCTTTTTTTAAATTAATCAAGAATTGTATAAATGTTTATTTATATCTAAATCGCAATTTATATTCGCAAAAATAGTGCAGATTGAATTTGAACTTGAACTTTATGCAACATGAACGATGAACGATGCAAACTTCATTAACCGCTCTCCGAGCGATTAAACCTGCTACATTCGAAAATGCTATTAGGTCTGTTCTTTATAGCTTAACTAGCTACACTAATGGCACTAGTTCAGAGTTTATCTTTTTCTCTCCACCATAGAACGAGAAAGATAAACTTTGACTAATGCAGCCAGTTCAGAGTTCAGCTATAAAGGACAGATCTATCGTTGCCGGTTGCTGCTCTATCTGATATATATATTCCGTGTTTGATAAAGTCTGTGCGCTCGATACGTTTTTTGATTTGATCGAATTCATGAATCATTGCTGATCGATTAAATCGTGTTAAAAAATAATATTGTGCATTTAAGATTTTGAATTTAGCAGAATTTGGTAATAAATCTGGTGATTTATTCCAACTTAATAGAAAATTGCAATAGAATAATCTAGTTAATTGCCATTGATAACCATTACTTAACCTTATGCATTGTTATGAAATTTCCGTTCAGTTTGTATTTATATGCAATTCACATCTTTCTAATTTGTTTCGTCTGTTTCTTATGCATTATTTCTACAAAATATCTCGATAAATATCTTTGCTGAACAATAAATGTTTCATTATCTGAAGATTATAAAATTCTGAAGTCTTTTTGATGGAATAATTTTTTTACTTAATATGGATTAATTTCTTTTTAACTTATAGTAATCAATTCTAGAACAGACACTGAAATCTCTCATTTTTAGATCAAAATGTCAACTACATCACAGAAGCACAGGAACTTTGTGGCAGAGCCTATGGGGGATAAACCTGTGACCGAGCTCGCTGGTGTTGGAGAAGTCTTAGGGAAAAGATTAGAAGCTGCAGGTTTTGATAAAGTAATATATATGTATATTTATATATGTATTATTTATAAAATATCTAATTATTAATATTTTGCATTGCAATGAGGATACTTGTTCTAACTTTTTCGTAAATACTACAATCTAAGAATACATACAAATATAAAATTATTTTGATCTATTTGCAAATAGATTGAAACAAAATTAAGAGATTGTGACAATAATTACTAAGTTTTATAAGTTCTTTGATTAGATATGAATTAATAATTGAACTCTTTGTACAGGCATATGTAGTACTAGGACAATACTTAGTGCTAAAGAAAAATAAGGAATTATTTCAAGAGTGGATGAAGGACGCATGCTCGGCTAATGCAAAACAATCTACAGATTGTTATCAGTGCCTAACTGATTGGTGTGAAGAATTTTTGTAAAGTAATTGTGACATAAATTTAACCAGAATGTGTTTTTTAAAGAACAGAGTATTAAGTACACATTTTTATAATATTAACCAAATAAGATTTACATTTGACTGGAACGTATATTTTTTTAAGAGCAGAATATTTAACTATGCAGTTATACAACATTAACATAAATATAAAATTTACAGTTTGTTTATTTTATAAAACTGTAAAACTAAATATTCTGTTTCTAGAAAAATATAAATTTCAAATTTGTCAATTATATATCTATTATAATTATAAACATTAAGAAAAATTGTTGCACTTTAATCAGTACAAAAACTAAAAAAAACGTGCGGTTTTAGATATAAGAACACTGATAAATCTAAATATAATTATATGTGAACATGGAAAAAAAATAAAAGCAAACTTTATTCTTGACTAAATAATGATTGTGTGTTGCTGTATGTGAAAATATTTGGTATTGTGATTTACGTGTCACCAATGATATAAATATATATTGCATCATATTGTTCATATTTATAAATATGCTTGATTCAAGAGTTTAATGACACTTCTTATGATAATTTATAAAGTAATTATATATGTTGTTTGTGCTAAACCTATCTATATACACAGAGACGCGGCTATATGCGATAGAATAGTATTTAATTTTAAACAAAGAAATCTTTGCTTCTTTTGTCCTGATTGGCCAATCAAAAGCTATTTTACTATGTAAGTACATTTTCGAACACAACCCAAGAGTGCTTCGCAAACGCCAATAGTTTGTCCATCTCAATATTTTTCTCAGTCTATGCCGTATTGTATTTTTGTAACAAGTTTTATGTCAATGCTAAACAACAATTGTTTACAAGGATTATAAATATATCCGATGGTCAGATATCCGTACATACGTTTAAAGAGAACGTATATGACATTAACTTTCAAATTGTAGAGATTTTGACTTTAGAATTTAATTCTATTTAATTTTAATAATGAGGATAGCCATGGAAGGTTGTGCTCATGGCGAATTGGATATTATTTATGAAACTATACAGAAGATTGAAAAAATAGATGGGAGGAAGATAGATCTGCTTATTTGCAGTGGCGATTTTCAAGCTACCAAAAATTTAAGCGATTTAGAATGTATGGCAGTATCGGACAAATATAAAGATATATGTATATTTTACAAGTAAGTACTATAATCTCAGCAAAGAGATTTGAAAAGCTTGTGCGGTGGCCCTAAGCCTTAAGAAATTGACTAATCACAGTCGAGTATTCTCCTCATACTTGATTGTGGCTATGGTCGAAAAAATGCTAGAAATGCTTCGAAGCGTTTGATAGACCAATCAGGACAAAAACAGTAAAGATTTCTTTATTCTGATTGGTTGATGCAATGCTTCGAAGCATCTCTAGCGTCTTCTCGACCGCAGTCTGTGATTGGTCAATTTCTTACGGCTAAAGGCTTACTACACCTATTGTAGATTCGGACCTACATTTGTCGTACGATAAATGTGATATCGGCCACACACGTACACGCTGGTACGTACACGCCCGGTGTTTTTCCGTCTCTTTCTGGCCCTCGGTATCTTGGTCTTGGATTTTGGAACATTAGTCGTGACTTGCGACACGTAACTAACTTCCGTTACAGCCTTGGTCGAGTACAGACGTGTTCTGATACGGTACGCGTTCTTTTGTTTGAACTTCTGATAGAGATTCGCTGTGGACCAAAAAGCAATATACATCCGATTTGCCGTTTGATAACGAATCAAGTTAAATTTATGCCTGATGTTATGACATCAGCAGCCGGAAGAGATCTTTCGAGAACCTCACTCCTGGGACGGTTTCTCTCGGCATTGGTATGTGCCGAAGTGCAACCAAAAGTGCTGGAGAAATACTTCTATAATACTCTTAGCAATTCGAACAAATCGAAGACTTTCGCGCTGCAGCTAGGGTTGAACAGTACCAGAATATCGTTGCACAAGATGTTTGATACGATACTCGCGAATAGCAGCTGCCGCGATGCCACTCTTGCGTACTTGGCGGCGAAATGCAACTAATAAAATATCAGTACTAAAAATAATAGCTATTTCG